TGCGCGGCTGATAGGATTTATTAATACAAGTCACTTGTAAGCTTTTTCTCCCTGTGTAAATGGTGACAGGTGTGTAGATGGTGACAGGTGTGTGGGGTGAGTGGCAGTGGTGGGTGGCGGGGATAGTTATCAATGATAACATGTAAGTTGTCGCATCAATCAACGTCACAATTCCTTTGATGACAGGTACTTGGGTGGGAGGGAGACAGGGAATAGGTTCCTGGTGTATGGGTAGAGGAGGGTATGACGGGGTAATGAGACGGGGGGATAGGTGTATGGGTCCTAGGAAGGATGGGGGGGAGGGATAGGTAGAGTCAGCTCTCGTCTACAGCTGAAGTTATATCAGTCTCACTTAGTTAGTGTTATATTAGTTATATCAGTATATCGGTCTCTCATATAGTACTGTTGTACACCTAGGAACATGTCTAAGTAAACCTGATTATGGGGCCAGGGGGAATAAACCTGATTATGGGGCCAGGGGGAATAAACCTGATTATGGGGCCAGGGGGAATAAACCTGATTATGGGGCCAGGGGGAATCATCCTTGATGCTCGTTACTGTGATTTTCATTGTCATCATCTTTGCATTTTTTTCTAATTTCATCTCATAATTTATAGAAGTTTCTTGTTGAAAGGTTATCAGCATCCCTTCATCTCATAATATTTTCCTTAATATTCTTTATGGCTCTTTGATGATGTTGAGCCCCGAGTGCTTTGTCTGATCTAGGGGTAACCAACCGTCTCTGGGACACCCAGCATCTTTCCATTGGTTATCTTGAGAGGGTTACCTTGAGACGATTTCGGGTCTTTAGTGTCCCCGCGGCCCGGTCCTCGACCAGGCCTCCACCCCCAGGAAGCAACCCGTGACAGCTGACTAACACCCAGGTACCTATTTTACTGCTAGGTAACAGGGGCATAGGGTGAAAGAAACTCTGCCCATTGTTTCTCGCCGGCGCCTGGGATCGAACCCGGGACCACAGGATCACAAGTCCAGCGTGCTGTCCGCTCGACCGACCGGCTCCCTTGGTTATGACCGGCTTTGGTTATGCCAAAAGATTGATCTATTTTGGAATTGCCCTAACGTGATCATTCTAACCAGGCATACCTCTTCTATTTGTTGCAAGAGTTATTCTCTCTCTTTCCCCTAATGTAAAAAAAGAGTCATCGCGACAGTTCTGATGCATATTACATTGAAGGCAAGTGAAGGCAATTTGAATATATAAAGTTTTCTGCTAAGCAGACACTTAAAGTTATCTGGGTCAACAACAGTGGCTTTCTGCTAGTTTAAATGTGACCTCTCCCTCTCCTAAACTTCTCTCAAACCTCTCTCAAACCTCTCTCAAACCTCTCTCAAACCTCTCAAACCTCTCTCAAACCTCTCTCAAACCTCTCTCAAACCTCTCTCAAACCTCTCTCAAACCTCTCTCAAACCTCTCTCAAACCTCTCTCAAACCTCTCTCAAACCTCTCAAACCTCTCTCAAACCTCTCTCAAACCTCTCTCAAACTTCTCTCAAACCTCTCTCAAACCTCTTGAGAGGTTTGTGTTCTCACTAGCAGCAGTGAGTAAAGTATGCTGAAGGTGACAATGACAGGAAGATGACACGTTGTCACTTTCACCTTCAATCTTATATCCTCAGATGTGACCAGTTAGATCATCTTGAGATGATCATTGATCTCATAATGAGATCAATATGAGACTTTTCTCTCTCATCCCTTGACAAAAAGCTGAAGTTAATATTAAATTATCATTGAAAGTAGGATTATGTACATTTTTATGCATCCATGAACGCATTAAGTGGATTTAAATATGCATCTTGTCGAGAAACATCGTCGATAAAGTCAGCTAACACCACGAGGTTTGGCAGTTTGGCAGGAATTGGCCAACTGAGATATGTTAGCATAGCTCCATACACACAGCTGCCCTCCTCTTTCCTGGCGGCCCTTCTTCATTTCCCTAGCTGCCCTTCTCCACTCCCCTGGCTGCCCTTCTTCATTTCCCTAGCTGCCCTTCTTCACTCCCCTGGCTGCCCTTCTCCACTTCCCCTGGCTGCCCTTCTCCACTCCCCCTGGCTGCCCTTCTCCACTCCCCTGGCTGCCCTTCTCCACTTCCCCTGGCTGCCCTTCACTCCCCCTGGCTGCCCTTCTCCACTCCCCCTGGCTGCCCTTCACTCCCCCTGGCTGCCCTTCTCCACTCCCCACCTCATCCGATCCTATTCTCTTCCCCCCCCCCCGGGATGGCTATATGCACCGAGAGATATATCCCACTCCTTGGTGTATATACACTTAGACTTAACTTGAGTCTTGGACATAGTTCAGGACTAATGTACACATGCTGGATGGTCAGTAAGCTATTGTGGGGAGCTTAATGACTCTCCAGAGGTTGATAAGCCTTAAGTCCTACACCACAGCAAGCCTTTCCTCCTCCTCCTCCTCCCATCATCTTGTCTTCTACTTCCCTTCTCTCTCATTCCTGTCCTCCTCTCCCTTCGGCTGGCGATTGTCGCTATGTAGAGGATGTTGTGGTGGGTAAGGAGTTCTTGGTGATGAAGGGAGAGGGAAGGTGGTGATGTCATCATTAATCCAATCTGCTTTATCGTTATTTGTCATCGTAATCATCAGTGATCTTAGTCATCGACGGGTGAATGGTGGGCGGCTATCGTGGTTGGATCACGAGGTCTCAGTGTCTCGCCAACGATAGAAGTTAGCCAAATTTTCCCTTCAAAAGTGCATAAAATCTCAACAGTCTAACATCTCATGAACCCAGTGAGTGAGGTTTACAGTCACAACAGTTCGGCTGGATTCACCCCAAACATCCATCAGCTCGGCTGGAGTCCCCTCAAACCATCCATCAGCTCGGCTGGAGTCCCCTCAAACCATCCATCAGCTCGGCTAAATACCCCCCAAACCATCCATCAGCTTAGTTGGAGTTCGCCCCCCCCCAAACCATCCATCAGCTCGGCTGGAGTCCCCTCAAACCATCCATCAGCTCGGCTGGAGTCCCCCCAAACCATCCATCAACTCGGCTGGAGTCCCCCCAAACCATCCATCAGCTCGGCTGGAGTCCCCCTCAAACCATCCATCAGCTTGGCTGGAGTCCCCCCAAACCATCCATCAGCCTAGCTAGAGTCCCCCCAAACCATCCATCAGCCTAGCTGGAGTCCCCCCAAACCATCCATCAGCTTAGCTAGAGTCCCCCAAACCATCCATCAGCCTAGCTAGAGTCCCCCCCAAACCATCCATCAGCCTAGCTAGAGTCCCCCCCAAACCATCCATCAGCCTAGCTGGAGTCCCCCCCCAAACCATCCATCAGCCTAGCTGGAGTCCCCCCCAAACCATCCATCAGCCTAGCTGGAGTCCCCCCAAACTATCCATCAGCCTAGCTGGAGTCCCCCCAAACCATCCATCAGCCTAGCTAGAGTCCCCCCCAAACCATCCATCAGCCTAGCTGGAGTCCCCCCCAAACCATCCATCAGCCTAGCTGGAGTCCCCCCCAAACCATCCATCAGCTCGGCAGCCGGTATAACAACAGGAACAATGGATACTTAACGAACCCCACAACTCAACACGGTGGAAGAACACACTAACAGTTTCAACAGAGTCATCCAGTCACTAAAACTACTACAACTTAATGTACTAAGCACAATGTACAGATCACTAGTACTCAGCAACTTGTATAGAGACAGACCTCGACATAATACTCATTAAATAATACTCATTAACAACCATGTACAAAAAAGGGGAATAAAAAAAGACAGATATTCAACTACACAACGTAAAAAAGTCGACACACCTGGCTAGCAGCAGCAGTAGTCAGGAGAACTTTAATACACAAAATCTTTGATAATTTCCAGGGGAAACTAACGGCCTTTTGATCTCCAAACGACTAAAGGTACACTCATTATTGGACCATGCTATCACAACCACCAAGACGACCCTACCATCCATGACCGATATCACGAAACTCGCGAGACCGATATCACGTAAAAAAAGCAAGAACATTCCTGCCTATTCCCTGCAAGATGCAAATGCAGAACACAGAGCACGGGGACACGGGAGTCCCAACCAAGCAGGAGACTGTACACAATACGACAAGAAACTGTAAGCTAACCCATCTACACCCTAAACTTCCCGACAAGATCGCAGTGCCTCCTTCTGACGTCAGAAGGAGGTGCCTCCTTCTGACTTCCGTCAGACAAGATCGCAGTGCCTCCTTCTGACGTCAGAAGGAGGTGCCTCCTTCTGACTTCCGTCAGACAAGACCGCAGTGCCTCCTTCTGACGTCAGAAGGAGGTGCCTACTTCTGACTTCCGTCAGACAAAACCGCAGTGCCTCCTTCTGACTTCCGTCAGACAAGACCGCAGTGCCTCCTTCTGACGTCAGAAGGAGGTGCCTCCTTCTGACTTCCGTCAGACAAGACCGCAGTGCCTCCTTCTGACGTCAGAAGGAGGTGCCTACTTCTGACTTCCGTCAGACAAGACCGCAGTGCCAACCACTACATCCTGAACACCCGCAGGGAACGAGGAACCCAGTAAGCACAAGCGACCACCTACCCATAACAACGCTCAAGGAACCCGCTACAGAAACCTCTTCATCTCCAAGACTCTCAGTGTGCAAAAACTGACTGAGGGGCCTTCGGAGGCAGTGTGCCAGTCACGGCACTTGCTGGGTGAGGGAGGGAGAGGGGGAGGGGGAGGGGGAGGGGGTATTCGGTGTGCCAGTCATGGGAATCAGGTGGCCAAATTGGGGCTTTCAGAGGTGAATCATCCTACATAAAGGGTCCATCAAGTCCGAGGGTCAGATAGCCGTGCTCAGTTGTGTAGAGAATATTTTCTCTCTTCTCTCTCCCTCTCTCTTCTCTCTCTTCTCTCTCTTCTCTCTCTCCACTCTCTTCTCTTCCCTCTCTCCCGACTTCTTTTCTCCCCGCTTCTCTCACCTTTTTTCTCTCCTCTCTCTTTTCCTCTCTCTTTTCCACCTCACTCGTTCCCCCTTTCGCTCTTTACCTCTTTTTTCCTCTCCCCTTCCCCCTCTTTCACGACTTCTCTCTTTCGCATCTCTTTTTCCCGCTCTCTCATCTCTGGCTCTCTCATATCTCGCTCTCTCGTCTCTGGCTCTCTCATCTCTGGCTCTCTCGTCTCTGGCTCTCTCATCTCTGGCTCTCTCATCTCTGGCTCTCTCATCTCTGGCTCTCTCATCTCTGGCTCTCTCATCTCTGGCTCTCTCATCTCTGGCTCTCTCATCTCTGCCTCTTTCATCTCTGGCTCTCTCATCTTTGACTCTCTCATCTCTGGCTCTCTCATCTCTGCCTCTCTCATCTCTGCCTCTCTCATCTCTGGCTCTCTCATCTCTCGCTCTCTCATCTCTCATTCTCTCTCCCTCTCCTCCTTCTATCACGTATGGCCTTCACTGTTTCCGACATCAAAGTGCTAGAGTAAACTTCAAACAAGTATTTAGCGCACTTAAAATACTTTTTACCCTCGAGCATATATTAGGTGACCTCACTTTACATGAAAAATATCAAATAGTCAAAGCACTGGCTAAATATCTCTAGTCGACCAACAAAATGGGCCACATTTGACCTGTCACATTTATTCCTGGCGCCACCAACAGCCAAACGGAAAACAACTGCCTCGCTGCAGTACCATGGATCAGCTGACGCCGTAAACACAACATCCCGCCCTACGGTGCGTCAAGTCTCTCTCTAATACGCACCTTTGTTTAGTCGAAGCTCCTGCGGTGCGTCAAGTCTCTCTCTAATACGCACCTTTGTTTAGTTGAAGCTCCTACGGTGCGTCAAGTCTCTCTCTAATACGCACCTTTGTTTAGTCGAAGCTCCTACGGTGCGTCAAGTCTCTCTCTAATACGCACCTTTGTTTAGTCGAAGCTCCTGCGGTGCGTCAAGTCTCTCTCTAATACGCACCTTTGTTTAGTTGAAGCTCCTACGGTGCGTCAAGTCTCTCTCTAATACGCACCTTTGTTTAGTTGAAGCTCCTACGGTGCGTCAAGTCTCTCTCTAATACGCACCTTTGTTTAGTTGAAGCTCCTACGGTGCGTCAAGTCTCTCTCTAATACGCACCTTTGTTTAGTCGAAGCTCCTACGGTGCGTCAAGTCTCTCTCTAATACGCACCTTTGTTTAGTCGAAGCTCCTACGGTGCGTCAAGTCTCTCTCTAATACGCACCTTTGTTTAGTCGAAGCTCCTACGGTGCGCCAAGTCTCTCTCTAATACGCACCTTTGTTTAGTTGAAGCTCCTGCGGTGCGTCAAGTCTCTCTCTAATACGCACCTTTGTTTAGTTGAAGCTCCTGCTTGATACCTGCATGATGGAGTTCTGGGAGTTCTTCTACTCCCCCAAGCCCGGCCCGAAGCCAGGCTTGACTTGTGAGAGTTTGGTCCACCAGGCAGTTGCTTGGAGCGGCCCGCAGGCCCACATACCACAGCCCGGTTGGTCCGGCACTCCTCGAAGAAATTAGCGATAAGACCTACTATTAATGTGTGATGACTTACTGTAAATATATAGCTCTTGAAATAGCACTTTCTCTGTAACTAGCAGACATTGTAACTATAAGGTGTGAAGGATAGATGAAATTGTTTATGTAATAATCTAAGATAAGGTCTGATAAAGACCTTTTGTGCCCTCTGTAATGTTTTTTGCGCTATCGCTCACAGGATGAGTATGGGGTGCACAATAAACAATCAAAAAATCAATCCTCGAAGAAAACTATCTAGTTTTCTCTTGAAGATGTCCACGGTTGCTCCTCTATCTACACTACAATAAACCCGTTTGAAACCTCGTCATCCTCAACATTCATGCTTCTCCCAACATTGTACTCGTGCAGTCATCGGAGGGATAAACCCTTCATGCACGCTGCTCATACCATCAACAAGAAGAAGATTGATTGATTGATGAAGATTAAGCCACCCAAGAGGTGGCACGGGCATGAATAGCCCGTAAGTGGTGGCCCTTTCGAGCCATTACCAGTATCAAAAGATGATATTGGAGATCTGTGGAGGCGCAACTGCACCCTGCGTGATGGGAGATGTCTCCCGGACCAAGTGGTGACCAAATGGTGAACAAGAAGAAGATTGTTCAGAAACCTTTAGTGCGGTAGTGTGTCAAAGGCTTTTTGGCAGTCTGGAGAGGTGCCGGGAGCCGGTCGGCCGAGCGGACAGCTCGCTGGACTATGATCCTGTGGTCCCGGGTTCCATTCCGGGCGCCGGCAAGAAACAATGGGCAGAGTTTCTTTCACCCTATGCCCCTGTTACCTAGCAGTAAAATAGGTACCTGGGTGTTAGTCAGCTGTCACGGGCTGCTTCCTGGGGGTGGAGGCCTGGTCGAGGACCGGGCCGCGGGGACTCTAAAAAGTCCCGAAATCATCTCAAGAATGTGCAATCTGGTCACACTTAATAAAAATACTTTGCAGAATAGCCTATCCACCAAGTTAGACAGGTTAAATATCCCAAAAGGAATCCACAGGGAAATAGCAGTTCGGTTATATGGTGCAGGCTGGTTAGGTTACTACGTCTAGGTTACATATACAACTGGAAGATTGGTGAACCCAGGCAGAGGGGAATGCCTCTTCAGCCAAACAATCACAGAAAGGCCACTACTTCACAATCTCCTGGAATGTGAAGCAACCAAGGACCTTAGAAGAGCTTTAAGAGTCCCTGAATCTTGCAGTAATCACCCTGAAGCCATCAACACTGCCATTCTTCTGGTCAGAAAAGGTGTCCAGCAGCCTGACGATTTAAATGCAACCTCAACACACAGTATTCTGAGGTTGAGATCATTTACTTAGACCGTACGGGCTATTCATGCCCGTGCCACCTCTTGGGTGGCCTAATCTTCATTAATCAATAGCCTATGCATGTCAGAGGGACTTATCGATGATTAAGATCCTCCTACTAACCCCCTTGCATGTATATTGGCATCATAGTGGCGGTCTTGCAGCTGTTGAGCATCTTGCTTCTCTCAGCAAGATGCTGAGATCATAAAAGTCTTAAAGATCATTGAAATTGCGTGGCAGCTGTTAACGCCAAATTAAATCCCTGCTCTTTATTTCATGTGGTTAAGCCAAATAATAATAATAATAGTAAAACGTGGTTTAATGCGAAAGAGTTGATTGGTGGCCGTGATCGGGCCATTACACCTGATTGGCTGGCGTCATGTCAGGAAGAAAAATGATTGGCCGCCGACTGACGCGTCACACCCCCGAGTGGCCCAATGACCACGCAGACTTGCTTCACAACATTGCTTCACCACCTTCCCTTTGCATCCACTAAATTCCCACAAAATACCAGCCCGAGCTTTAATAATGACCGCGCTAACCAAAAACCGGGTTCGAGTCCCAGCAAACAAAAGAGGTGGGGGTAAATTACGGACGTTAATATTTAAAGTGTGCCGGAGAAAATTGGATTCGACTTGGACGACAGAGGGCGGGTAATTATATCGATTAAGACCTAATTTACAGACAGATGGCCGCGATCACCCTCCTCCCTTGTCTTGTCAAGGAGGAAGGAGGAGGAGGAAGAAAAGGATGAGGAGGAGGAGGAAAAGGATGAGGATGGAGGAGGAGAATAAGAAGAGTCGGAATTAATGTCGTCATCTCCTCTTGCGAATTATCGGGTCGGTACCAACACACAACCAAACCACAACCTTAATTGTTTGTTTTTAATATTAGGTTATTACAACGGTTATTAGGTTATTTACTGAATGTTTAGGATATTATGTGTTGGGTGGGAAGTGACTATGAGGAACCAGGAGCCAGATTCACGAAAGCACTTACGCAAACACTTACGAACGTGTACATCTTTCCTCAATCTTTGACGTCTTTGGTTACATTTATTAAACAGTTTACAAGCATGAAAACTTCCCAATCAACTGTTGTTATTGTTCTAAAGCGCCTGGTGCTTCGGAGCTCATTAACTGTTTAATAATTGTAAACAAAGTCGCCAAAGATTGAGAAAAGATGTACAGGTTCGTAAGTGTTTGCGTAAGTGCTTTCGTGAATCTGGCCCCAGGACGGGTCGACGGGGTTAAGGCGTCCGTCTGGGGTGACGCTGGTTGAGCCCCCATCCTGCCCAATGGATCTTCTCGCTTGCGTCACTCGTTGTGACATCCTTGTGTATGGGTAACTTGAGGCGAGAGATAATTAGGTAGTTGGGACACGAAAGGGAGGTGACAGGGGCACGTGGGCGCTCAGAACAACGTGCTAAGTCGCACAGAAATCACGATAGCCAGATATATCATGTGAACAAATCCACAAGGGCCGTGATGAGGATTCGAACCTAGGTCCGGGATGTTCCCAGTTGTGTCTTAGTCAACTATGCCACAACCACGAGATGGTTGTGGCATAGTTGACGCAGGTTCGAATCCTCGTCACGGCCCCTTGTGGATTTGTTCATTTGATGCCTCACGCAATTGTGATTTGTGTGTGTAATGCCCTCATTCCCCTCAACACAGTCAACACGCACTCTCCCTCCCCTCCCACCACTCACCCTCCCCTCCCACCTCTCACCCTCCCCTCCCCTCCCACCTCTCACCCTCCCCTCCCACCTCTCACCCTCCCCTCCCCTCCCACCTCTCACCCTCCCCTCCCACCTCTCACCCTCCCCTCCCCTCCCACCTCTCACCCTCCCCTCCCATCTCTCACCCTCCCACACACCCCTTCTCACCAGCACCCCACATGCTCCCCTTCCTCCTCCCACGGACCCAAGAACTTAACCACTTACATCCCACTCCCGCCACTATAGCCCCGTCCTAATCAACAAATCTGGCAGCCCGAGCCGGTGTTACGGCGCGGGTGCATCAAGAAACGTCCCCAGTTCGAGCCCAGGACGAGCGCCCACCTCCCGGCTCGCTCAAAAACTGACTCTTGCCCCAACCAATCTCCATTACCTGACTTAGAGAACGGCTCGCCACCCTCGCTGGGAGAGTATTGTGTGTGGGGGGGGAAGAGTGTGATTGGTGGGGCGATTGTAAGGGGGTGGAGGGGTTGAGGGAGAGTTGGAGGGGATTTTGGGGTGTGGTGGATTACAGGTTAGAGGTGTAGGTGGTTTTGAAGGTGGAGGAGGGTGGATATGAGTGGTGGATGGGGGTTGAAAGGTGTGTTTGGGGGAGTTGCCTATTCGTGTTGGCTGGGAATGCGGTGTAGATCTTGGATCCTTCCAAAGAATGTGGTGTAGATCTTGGATCCTTCCAAGGAATGCGGTGTAGATCCACTTCCCTTCCGTCTGGTGCATCTATACTCTAGAATCTCCAAAATGCCACAT